CGAACAGGCCAGGGATTTAGCTCAGTTGTTTTGCCTCCTGCCTCACAAGTACAAGGTCCCGAGTTCGATCCCTGGTACCAAAAAAAAAAAAAAAACCAAGTGAATTCTTGATCTTTTGTTTTACCATTTTGAATATCATTGTAGAATATTATGCCATTTGTATACCTTTGAAGAGACATTTTGAAAATGTTTATTAAAATCTTTTGCCTGTCTTTTCTTGGTTATCTTACATTGTGCTGTTGTTGTAGTAGTTCTGTATATATTCCACATACAAGTCCTTTATCTGAATATTATATGCAAATATTTTCCTCTAGTCTATAACATGTCCTTTAGTGTTGTCTTTGGAAGAGCAAAATTTTAACTTTGATGGAGTCCAATTTTGGCAAAATATTTTTATTGACCATGTATTTAGTATCATATCTAAGAATTTTTTGCCTAACCAGGAATCATACAAATTTTTTGTTTTATAAGTTTTGTAATTTTGCCTCATAGTTAAATCTATAGTCTATATTGAGTTAATTTTTTATGTATAGTGTGAGGTGAGGGTCTAAATTTTTTTTCATAATAAAACTCTTACATTTTTATTTATTCAGTGTTTTATACTCAGTGATAGTCATTATTCTTGATGCTGAAATATGCACATTAAGCTGGTTCCTGTGTCCTTTGGATATGTCCTCATTTGCCTCTGAATACGTTTGTGCTTTCTCACTCTTCAGTATTTCCCATGCTACATGCCTAAAATCAACTATTTTTCCATATTTCTGTAGAACTCTGGTTCCTTTTAGTAGATGGAACACTATTGGTGCTGATTGCTACTAGAGTAACAATTGATACTAAATCTTTGTAGTAAACAGAGTAATGTATTATAACTTTAAAATGTCAAGAATCTATATTAGTATTTTTTCATTCAGATTTAACATTGCAAAGTTTGCTTCTCTTTTGTAATTGATTTTTTACTTTAAAAATCTTTGTTTTTAGTTAATGATGTTTAAAGGAGAATTTTTTTATTCTACCATATTTAAACATAATCTCGATACCCTTTTATATTCTCCATACACATTTTATTTTTGTGGGTTATGACCAGTTAACTAGGTGTAAGAATCATCAAGGATAAAAAGGAACAAAAAATACCTGCAAAACTTGGGTAGAGAAAACAGCTCTCTAAAAATTCATTAGACTAAGGAGAGGAAATTTTCTCTACCTTTCTCCCTTTTGTTATTACTTTATAGTTTGGAATGGTCAGCCATTATTGTGGATGAAGCTCATAGAATCAAGAATCCAAAGGCAAGAATAACAGAAGCCATGAAAGCTTTGAAGTGTAATGTCCGCATTGGCCTCACTGGGACCATCCTTCAGAACAACATGAAGGAACTCTGGTGTGTTATGGACTGGTGAGTGACACTGGCTTTACTCTTATTAAAATATTACCAAATGCATACTTCTTTAGCTTAATGGTACCTTGTTTGCTAATTGTTAGTTTCTGAAAACAAAAACAGAAAACAGTCATTTAACTGGTTGCAGAAATATTTGATACCAAATATACCATAGTATACCAAGTAGGGAATCCCATGAAAACCTGTCTTTATGTTAGTTTGGTCCATGAAGTAAATATACATGCTGACTTGCCAATTCCATCATCATCTTTAGTTATAGGCTTAAACTCT